ACACATCCTATTTGTATAACCCTTATCCCTTTATCACTAATATCTTGATTTAACACAAGGTATGGGGTGTGTCACCTTGTTAAAGTTAAATCGATGGTTTACTGATTCTTCGATTGACTTGTGGGATTCAAATAACATATTTATTTGGGCATGGCCATGCACTTCCCAAGTCACATCAATCAGTGGGCCCTAAGATATTATACTTCATTAAAGAAGGGATAAATTCTGTCTACGTCATTCACATCTTCGCTTAAGTTTCATTGCATACCCAAAACATAACTGTACATACACCGATATTTCAAATGGCATAAATCATGCCTCAATGTATACAACTCAACATACCAAAGAATGTAATGACTTCAAGTCAAATGATAGTTATACTAATGGTCGCATGAGAATAATATTAACACTTTAACTCAAACCCATACATTAATCTCATAGCGGGTCAATCCAGCAACATATCCAATACGGTTGCCTACGTATAGATTCAGATAACACTTTATTTATAGCCTATGAGGCACAACTATCTCATCTCATACGTATTAGTCTTGATATATTATGATGTCCGTATTGTCATAATATTCGACTAAGGATATTTTAGGCGTAGGCTCTATCTTTGTAACAGCCTCATAATTAGAACGTCGTAGTTCCCATCTATGTTACTAGAGCGCCTACTCTATGGACTAAAGCTATGTTTAAATCACACGAGACGACTTAAACAATCTTTAGGGCCTATTGTTCTTGATATAATATAAATATGGAATCATAAGTTGGCCTCTAGGGCTCACTTATATTCAACAATCTCCCATTAGCACTAAGGCCAATTATGGTTCCCATGTATGCCTCATGCACGAAGTGTGACCCTCGTGTATAGGTTTTCCCAAAGCCTCAATAGGTTAAGAGATTGTTTATCCTTTTCTATCTTGCAAATTTTGATACTTTCATTTTACGACTGTTCGTATAATGTGGTGAAATCTAGTGATGTCTTGGTTTTTAGGTATAGCTTCTTTAGCTCATGTAGTAACCCTATCATTGTCAGTACAACGACATATTGGTTTCTTATGCTGGGAGCAAAGCTATCCTTTTGTGAGAAGCTACAAAGCCAAAATATCTTCATCTTTGCTACTTCCAAAATTGCAAATTTATCTCACTTATATGCGTATGACACCATGTCAATACTTGTCAATATATGTTTTGTTAATTTCAACCTACCTTATGGTTGTTCTAAACGAGCTATTTTGTGTGTAACATTCACACTTAAGCCATTTTAGAAAACCATACTCCTTTGTCTCTTCTTAAGAATCAAAAGTTAACTTTTACAAAGTTGACTACTACTCTTAGCTCAGCTTAGACATATATAAAATATATCCTTTTAGAATGAATCAAGTCCAGATCTCATGGTACTCCATGGAACGATTTCCATGGGGTCCTTTGACAGAGTGAGTCTCCAAAAAGGCTTTACCTTGAGATTCATGCAAGTCTCAAAAACTTCCATGTATGTACTGGTCTTAGATTATGTAACGCCCCGAACATAGGCCTATCAGTATTAATTAATTGATAATTAATTAATTACTGAGAAGGACCCAAAAAAATAAATAAATTCTAAAGTTTGTCAATAATTAATAAAAATTATATCGTTGTGTAGAGTTTGACTGTCTGACCCCAATGGTTCGATCGGATTTCAATTTGGAGAAAGTTGGACCAAAAAGTATACCCCGACTGGGACCAAATATTAGTCCCAATCAGGGACTACACACCAAACGGCGCCCTGTTCAATTACGCCGATTCCAAATCGCCGCACAATCACGGAAGCAACCAAGCCTGTGTCTTCTTCTTCTCCACTGGCCTATTTAAGCACAACTCAACTCCCTCAATTCCTCACCAAAAACATTCATTCTTCCTCCTATATTGTTCCTTGCTGAGAGTAGAGTGCAGTGGTGCTGTCATTTTTGTGTGAGGTCGCTGGAGCAGTAAGTTAGAGTCGCCGGAAGTTTCGCCGGAAAATCGTCAAAACCTCCCTTACGCTTTGAGGTAAGCTCTTAGATATATCTAATGACTAGAATGTTCATATAGGTCGTTTCTACGTTCATAAATGGTCATTTGGTTGAGTTTTGTGTTTGACATGTTTAAGAACCAAGAATCATAAACCTTGAATTTGATGTTAAAAATAAGTTTTAATGATTCCAAAATGATCTATGAACCTGGGAGAACATTTCTATATAATTTAATTGAAGTTTGGTGATTAAAAATGATAATACTCGAAACTGACCACAGGAAGAAGATGATGAACAGTAGCCGAAAATCGATT